GGATTTTCACCTTTTGGTGACAAAACATCGGGGCCAGTTCATTGTTCTTGCTCCAATTGTCATGCACCCTTAAATACTGTATGGGAACACTGTCTTGCTACACATATGAGGCTAGTCAAAATTGCCTAGAAACTAAAATCAAGTATTCAGTGTCCTTTATATATTTAACTGATTAATACAAAATTTCCTAGAAAGATCTCAATTAAGATTCGTATCTCACCTTTTTAGAGATCATGCTCTTCTCGCAGTATTTTTTAATCTAAGAATTAATTCCATCATAAGCAAGTCAGAGAGAGTTTAAAAACAGTAATATACTAAATAAAAATACAAATTATTGTATTATGGCCTTGATCTCTATTTTACCTTGAAAAAGTTGACATTGTCCATCTGGACAGAAAACAAGAAGTCATTGATTGTTCTAAGCTTTACATCTGGATAGAAGAGGAAAATAATTACATAATAATAATTCATTGATTGGTAGAAACTGTGTACTGAAATGTTTAAATTTGTGAGTATATTATATTTTATAATTATTACAACATATGAAATTTTACATTGTATACATTGCTTCCCGAGGCCTCTTTTGATACCTAGTCACACAAGAGTTAACTAAAGATATAAAGCCATTACACAGGTAACATAACGAATAATGAAAACAACCTTGCGTTCTTGCTTCTTTCGCACCACATTCATCAGTTGTAATTGATGATATTGCTTTTGATAGATTTTGCTCCTTTCCTACAGATATGTTAAAACAAAATATATTCTTACTATTACGGTAGTTACTATCAAATAGACAATTTAAAGAAAAATCAAATAATTTAATTTAAAAAACAAGTCATTCAATTAACTATAGATAAACAAACTTACCACCCAGACCGTTTAAGAAACATGTCAAGACATAGAGTAGCTGCTGGATGTATAGTAAATTTTTTGCCTTTAATCTTGTCCTGATTGAAAATGAAAGAAAAAGGAAATTTTAACCAGCTGCAAGGATGATTTTGCTTGTCTGGTTTGACCATCTTATAAAGGAGTTCAGTTAAAAAAAAGTTTAGCCCGCCTGTGAAAACCAGTTGCCCTCCTCAGTGTCGAAAATGTTAAAGAAACCCCTGAATAACTATCAACATAAAATGAATGTGTATGTACACATTGCACAATATACCAGTAAATCTGAATTAATAGTTTTCAGGGTGGCAGAGCTTATCTTCTCCTTGTGCCATTATTCCTGTAGCCTTTGCTTTTTGGGAACTGCTGTTCAAAACCACTTTGTGTTTTTGTTGGTACAGTTCACTTTTTTAAAATGAATATAACTGGGCAGAATGAAATATTACCTGTAACGATCTTGATACTGTGTCAGTTGTGAATGTGCACATGAAATCTGAAACATGAAACAATTCCGTCCAGATTATGTCACCCAATCAAATTATTCTGTCACCCAATCAACTTATGTTGTGCTAATCAACTTTCAGAGAGCTGTAATATTTAGTCTGAGTGCGTTTCCAATGCAGCCTGTCATTCAGCCCTTTAGAAGTTAGTAAATATTACTAAGTAAGTTCATATACATTATAATGGAGTTATATAATTTACAAGGCTAAGGAAATACATTTGAACCCTGCCATTTTGAACTCATAAGGGAAACATAAAATTGTTCCAGATGTCAGGGGTTCTAGATAGCCTATAATGAGTGATTGAAGAAGTGATTTGAAAAGTTAATGATCTGAGTGAGAGATGGCCAGAGGTTTAAGATAACTGACTTTGAGATAGCAAGGTTCCGCTAGATAGCTTAACCTAAAGGAATAATGACATGAAGTATGTAGTTGGCTGTGCCGTCAGAGTGGCCAGCGGTTCTAAGTACTTTGTACAAGTTTGTCCAGGATTCAATATTTCCTAGACATGACGCAATGGTGCAATGCACTTACAAGTATAAAAAAAAATCAATTATTATTGAAATATTAACAACGAACCCAAGCTAATTTTCCAGCTTATATATAATTACCTGAGAACCAGTGATTTCAATACTATGTACACTACTGATTGTGTCAATCAAATTGTGTGCTTCATCTATGATGACTACATTGCCGTCAAGCCGTATTCCACAGGCTTTTCTGGTGGACTTGTGGAGAAGGATGTTATAGGGCAAAACGACAAGCTGGTTGAAGACAAAATTGGAAAAAAATTAGATTTCCTGATCATGAAGGGAATGGTACTTTACTCAAAACAATTACTTGTTTTCCACCAGTACAAATTATTTTCAACAGCTAACTCTGGAAAGCTGGCATATCAACTTAGAACAAACGCCCCTTAACTACTGGTACCTTACAAATGACTTACTCACAATTAACAAGACTTAGAGACCCAAAAATTACTAGAACTGACAAATGACAGTTGTATCAGTTTCAACAAACCAGACTACGTCTTATAACACTATTGACTTACAAACTTTTATCACTTGACTCTCAATGACTGCATAATATCATTCACCAACAACAGTGCTTTTCAGATCTTCCCTCTCCCAGATGATCACACTTATCTAGTATGACCTACTGATACACCCGCTAATTTATTACATGCATATTTATAATAAATACAGTATAGCTGAAAGAAAGCATATTGGCATGTTCATGTTTGAAGCCTGTTCATTTTACCATCATTTTTTAAAACCTAATTTCACCAAATTAAAAAGTAACTACTTACTAGTACTTACTATGTCTCAATCTGTTAACTGGAAGTAAGAGTTAGACCAATCATTTATGGAAGAAATTCCCTTTGGACTTCACAAATCAGTTGCCAAATCAAAGCTCATGCTTGTAACTCAAGAAAACAACATGTACCAAAAGCTGGTTTTGTGTCTGCCAAAAAATTTTTGGAGCGGCAAAATGAATTTCAAACTGAAATGTCTAACCTGTGCTGGAGGTATGGCTAATCTTGTTCCATAGTAAGGACAAGCATTGAGTTTCTCTCCAACTGAAACAAGCTGCTCAATATCTTTTATATCAACCTGTCAAAAACACACAATCTGACATTTAAACCATAGTTAGCCTTAAAAAATCTCTCAGCAGGACCAAAATCAAATGCAGTTGAAAATTAAAAATCAAATTTCTAACTTGGCTCTTAGGCATAGAGGATTACCGTAAATCCTCAAATTAGTGCCCGGGCACTTATTTCAAATTTAGGAGAAAAAGGGGGCCACTTATTCAAGGGGGGCACTTAACCGAGGGAGGCACTTATTTAATTTTTCCCAAATGGTGGCCTGACATGATCATTTTTTTCAATGCATCATCTGCACATAAACAACAACATAAGCTGTTTATCAACATAAAAAGCTGATCCTAAAGTTTAAATCGCAGCACCATTAGTACTTAATGTGTTTAACGTGTTCACTTGACATGTTCACAAACTGAAACAATGTTCAAATCTAATACTACACGACGAAAACTATACATCACTTTGTTGTCTAATTACTCGTCCACAAAATGGGGAGGGNGGGGGGGCGCTAATTCAAGGATATCCAGTAAAAAAAAATGAAGAGATTAATTATTTGTATTCTTCTCTTGACCTCAATGCTATTTATTTTGTCTTAGTCCCCTAAGCCTCAGAACAAAGTTAGAATTTCAGATTGGCCTATTATGCCATCCACACAGTGTTTGTTACATTTTCTTGTACAGTCATATATTTTTTTGTTACAAAATGTACTAGCCAAGTGTACAATACAGTATATAGTAACTTACTTAAGACTGAGTTATCTTACATGTAAAATTTTATTTGCTATGATGTAAAAAGCAATCCTTTGGCCTATAACTCAGGCAGTATCTAATTCCTGTAAATTTCTCTTTGACAACTTTTAGTACTTTTAAGCACATTAAAGAAATGAAAAAGTAAAATTAATGTAGAGTTTGCCGTTGCGACTGATTTTTTTTCACTGGCAACTAACTTTTTCACTTTTCACGCTTTTCACTGAAATACTTTTGCTGGCAACTAAATCTGAAAACTTAGGGACCAGCTGCCCCAAGGTTTTTTCCTGAAAGTCAACCCCTGAAACGATGTCACAGTTGCTAATCATATTTTTTATATGTTCAAATTCAAGTACAAATTTGTCAATTGATGCTTCTTACCAAGACATGGTCCCTAAACTTCTGCATCTGCTGATATGCATAAAATGGACAACCTTTGGTAAGTTTTTTCTTCTTTGGAGCATTCTCTCCTTTAGCTTTTTTATTGTCTGTAGAACAATGTACATGCAGCCTTTAGTTAGTTAATTACAAATATGTACACAAGTCATGTGTTAGTCTGCAAAAGAGAGTATTAAAAGTAGTTATTGTACTGTTTGTTTGACTGTTATTAACTATAATACATTGTAAGTCCCATTGATTTATAATATATTGTATAAAGTTCCAGCTGTACATGTAAGTAAAAAAAATGTCGAATTTTGTTAAGGAGGAAATGTTCTAATTAAATCGTCACCAATTTTCCATTATTTTAATAGCTGACGAAGAGAATTATCCATCACCAACACTTCCTAAATTATTACACAGAAAAGTACCATTTTTTTATATATTGATCTTTTAAAAAAAAAAATTAAAAAATGATAGCCATCACCATCCCTGAGAGATGTCCTGTCCTCTGTGGGAAGAAAAAACAAATTAATTGAAATAACCACCTGGGATCTTTTTTGAAGGAAATGAGATCTCCATCTAGCTTGTCTGAATGATGCAAGATCTGGCTAGCACCCACCTTTGTCATTCTTCTGAAGTTCCAAACATCTATCATTGATTCTGTTAATATTTTTCAGGCTCTTAACATCTTCATTGATGCAGAGATTCTGTCGTGATCCAAGTGACACGACCCTTGTGCTGTCACTGAACGAACTCTTCTGAACTTCTCTCACAAACTGTGCCAGCTGTGAGTGTGTCCGACTGCAATAGAATATCTGGAGAAAACAACAACCAAGGGCAAATCTGGATGTAGTGCAGTTAGAATAGAAATTATGTCGTAACAAATATGTCTGTATAGACTGAGGTGTTGGATGCCAGGGTTTTAAATAATGTTATGATGTGCCATCTTGGTTTACAAAGTATAGTAAAATATTTTTTCACTTCATAAGAACAAAAAAAAAATGAAAATTATCAGCCATTCAAGACAGGTAACAAGCTAAACCAGGACTGTAGCTTGTAACAGGTGCATGACCTGAGGTTCATAATAATTTGAATTTATTTTGAATCCTTATTTTAGGTTTCTGCTAGAGGCTAATTTTTATATTAAAATTAAGATGACAGAAATAGATAGGATAGACTGATTGAAGTGTTTCTTTAATTGCCTCAATAAGAATTATCATCTGACTATGGCCCTGTAAACCTATAATCACTATCTTCGAAAAAAATGTAAGCCAAACTTACCCCAGCCATCTGAGCTAATATAAACGTCACACTGGGACAAGGGGATTTTGTTTAACTGACCAATACCAGCAATAACTGTGACACGTACTTGTAAGTCTCCCATGGATCTGATTTTAATTAATAGTACCTTTAGGCAATGAGGTTCTTCAACTTTATCTTCCTCTTCTTCATCTGACCTAGAGACAAGTTCATGGTTACCCACATCACAGGGTTGTTAGTAATCACTTATTTACAAAATAAACTTGTTAATAATCTTTAAAAACCCACTCCCTTGTAATTATGAAGCCCCCAAAACCATCTTTCCTCTGCAGAGGTTCAAAATGTTCGCTATAGAAAGCTGATGTGAGAGGTGAGTGCAGGTGCAAAGTCGAATTGCAAGATCCCATGCCTTCCATTGTCACCCTTTGCTTAACCCTGCACCTACACTCATATTGTTCATCACATTCTCCCCACCTGAAAAAAAACCTTTGAGCCTCTGCAGAGGAGAGAGCCCAATTCCCTGTCTAGAATTTCACATTTATTTTGTAAGACATCCCTACTCTTTATAAATTCAAACCCCATACCACCTTCCCAAGAAGGCAGGCCTCAGGAAATGAGATCAAATAAAAACTTTTTTTTGGAGGTGGAGGGGGTTCTTGTTCTAAACAAACACACCTCACAACTATTTCAGCTAGTTCATACATGTTTTACACGCAGCTGATTTATGATTACGCTCAAAACATCATTCAACTCTTTAAAATTTTCTGCATAACTGTGGTTTATTTACCTTTAACAGTAATTGATAATAAGGTTAACAAATCTTATTGTTTCACTTCTCTGCTGCCTCATCACAACAGCTTCTTTAGAGGCTAGCCAGAGGCTTTGTTCTTTTAATAATGATCAGAAATGCATCTACATGTGTAGGCCTGGTGCCTCTATAAAGGAACTTTCCCCAGAAAAAAATTATAGACCTTGAAAATAAATTAACCACACAGCCCTAGTCTTAGGAGGTAAATTTTAAAGTCTTACTCAGCCTCTTCTCTGTCACTGAGGTACTCTGTTAACACAATATCAGCATCAGGATCATTCAGACTTGTCTTGCCCAAGACTTCATTGATTTCCTTAGAAATTTTCTGCTCCATTTCTTCATCTTTGCTTGAATTGTCATCACTATGCTGGATACAAATTAATAAGAGAATGATCAATGATATCTCCAGACTTGCTAAACAAGATGGAAGCTCAGTATAACAGGGGGAATGGGGTGGTGGTAGGGGTGGGGGTGGCCTAGTGGAGGGAAGGAGACAGCATTGTTACTGATTGTTAGCCTCTGCTACTGTAAATACACTGTACTAACCTCTTACACACTGTACTGCCTCAGTGCAAGGTCGTTGCAGTACAGACAGCACAGCAAGGTCCACACAAAAATGATCGAGGCCAAATGTTTCCCAGTGCAGCTCAAGCAAGCTAAGTTAGTAAGCAGTTTTATATATGGCACTCCAGCTATGTTTGTTTATATATGTTTCTGTTGAAATGCACTTTC